CCCCAAAACCCCAAAACCCCAAAACCCCAGATGCATGGTATAATAGAAAAATCAGGATAATAAGAATTCGTTTATTGTTTTAAATTTAAACATCATCATATATTACAAAATAAAATGGTACAGTTCAAATCAAGCAATACGCTAGCAAAGCAAATTAAATAAAGAATTCTGAATAACCATAAAGATAAAGAAAATCCATTTGAGAAAGTTTTATAATCTCCTTAGAATGAAAATAGGTATATGGATAGGAATAAAGCTCCATTGATTTACAGTTATCAATCAACTAATAGCTAAGCAAATAGTGAGTGCCCTCCGGGAAGAAAAAATAAAGCACGGGTTAAACTGGATGAAAATCAGAATCCTTATAAAAATGAAAAAATCATTCACAAGAAAAGTTTCGAGGGCTACTAAGGACCAAGCAGTCCAACAAATGCAATTAGATTTATCAATCAAGTAATGAGTTTCAAGGATGTAATGAACGATAAATATTATAAGCCGAATAGACCCTCTGTTGGATATGGTTCATCACCTTAGGCAAGCTCCACCACTTCCAGTAAATATTGCTTTTCAAATAGGTCTAGTAACTTATCAGCGAAGCAATAGGTACTGCCTGAATCAATCCATCATAAATCGATCCAATTGTAATCATAGCGGCCATCTCATGGAAGATAGAGTCAGAAAAAGACTACTACTAATTCAACTTCAACTAAAATCTTAGGTCAGAATAATCAAGTGATTCTTTAAGCTAATAGACCTTAAGTCATGAATCTTAATCGATAATAATCTCCTTCGAGTTACAACCCAGTATAAGTGAATCTCACTATCGCAGAAGAAAATTATGGTCCATAGCAAAAGCAAGCCATAGTTGAAACTCCTAAATTCAATCAATATTATACTCTACTAGGTAAACACCATTCAAAAATAACAAGATCGAACACAAGAAGTAAATCACTAGTGAAAAGTTAAATTCTGTAATGTAACAGTATGTCTAACAATTATGAGAACTCTAAGAGTAATCGTTACATCAGCAATCAAAACTAGAATAGCTTTGAAGAACATCTAGACTAAGAGATCTATTATCAGCTAAATAATGAGAATATCGGAAACGGGATACCAATGAATGAAAAATTTTATAGACAAAACACTGCTTCGATTAATAACACTTCTTAATTAGATTAAAACTATAATATGATGGCGAGTTTTAAATAAAATCGATTCTTTATGTAATCTCACAGTAGTTGCTCTCATCATGAGGAACAAATATCAAATGATCCATAATCAAGTTAGGGTAAGAGAAGAAGAAATAAGGTAATTAAACTTAAGAAATCTGACATTAAGTTCCAACAAGATTAATTGAAAATGAGGAATGATAGTAGTACAAATAACGCCAAAATCTGTATAGTGGATATTGGAGCTTAAAGTCCTAGCTAGTAGCCAAGACAGAGTAAAGTAAAAACTAGGAAAGCCACTATTGATTAGATAAATTTCCCTAACTCTGGCGGAATAATGATTGGGTCGCCTAAGATGTAATAGAAATAATAGCAAGCAAAAAATTAGTGTGAAAGCTCAATTTTATCATCACAGTCATCGAATATGAGCGATAATGAAGACATTAAAATAAGCTACATTAATAGTAAAACTTAAATCAATAAACTACAATTCTCGAGAGATGCAATAGACAATTATCAGCAATATTTGAACCAAGATTATTAGCCTACATAGAAATAGGCTAAGAGTGTCAGAAAGACTAAATAAGTCAAATAATTAAGAAATCATGAAGATGTTTAGAGTATTAAAGTCATCCCTCGATTCTCTAAAGTGCAGTTCATCAATTTGAATAATCAGAATCTTGATGAAATTCTTAAGGAATGCGAAGTGTAGCAATAATATAAACAAGATGACAGCTTATTTAAGACTATAGAGAAAACGATATCTGGCTAATCAACTTATAGGGATTATACATACAAAGGATAGACTAGACTTTAAGTTGAAGTTATGCCTACTTCTGGAAGAAATGATCATTTTAGTATTGCCAAATCTGAATTTCTTCAAATTAGCGGTTTAAAATCCTCAAGGCAGCAAGATACTATCCATCAATCTCTAATATAGACATAGTAAAAGAGTTTCAGTAATAAAATCAGTTTTAATTAACAGCAAATGGCTTAAGCCAGCCAGTCATCTCCTAATTAGCAACAAACTCTAGAATCTATAGAATAAAGTGGAAACAAATTTTAGGAATTAGTGATTAAACACAAGGTCTAATCTTCTTAAATCAATACAAGAAAAAGTCTCATGCATTCATCCATCAACATTGAAAGCGATGGTTTTTCAAATTAGATCAGAATGATGCAAGATAAATTTCTGACACATATGCAACAAAGTAGCAGGTCAAAATTAACTAAGGTTTTAGGTAATGGACAAATAATGCAATAGATTATCATACTTCTGAACCCAAGAGAAATGTGCAGACTCTCCATCGTACTAAATAATAAAAGGCTCGGTTCCTTACTAATAGAGTTCAATATTCAATATAATAAGTGGATTCTCAATTTAGACAGTTCAAAAATGATAAATATATGGAGAGAAAGATTTATTCCAAGGGTTATTTCTTATGACTTATCTCAATATTATATAAGTCTCTCCTCTTGCAAATCTCAATATGATTTTGAAATTGAAAAAGACATAGAGCGAACCTTCCCTAACGAGAAATATTTTTATAAGGGATCCTAAAATTATTATAAAATGCTAAGAGTACTGAGGGCAGTCGCATATCATATGCCTTAGGTAGGCTATGTGCAAGGTTTTAATTTCATCGCAGGAAGTTTGATGAAACTTCTGAAAAATGAGGAATAGGTGTTTTGGATGTTTATAAATATTTTAACTTGGCGAGGCCTCTACTAATTATATACGGATGGCATGCCACTTCTGAAATTAATGCAGTACTAATTGAATTGCTTTGTTCAGAACCTGTTGCCAGAAGTCGAGTTGTATTTGAGTAAGAGAAATATATTGCTAGAGTACTTCAGCTCTCAATGGTACTTAACTTTATTCTCGTTCGATTTCGGGCTCAATTTTTTTAAGAACTTTTTGAATTAAATGCTTTAGTATGGACCATAATTTATGATACAGCTATCCCTAGCTCTAATTAATTATATTTCTCCTGAGCTTTTGAAAAAATAATCTATGGAGGATGCTATGGAATTTTTGAAGGATTTTCCGTAGCAGATAAACTTACCTATAAATGAAATATTTGAGGCAGCACTTTAATTTACGCAAGTTACAACGTAGCGATTAAATGAACTGCAAATAATTTATAGAACAAGCAAAAGCAAAAAAAGAATTCTATTTGTTAAAGATTAGGATCAGGACATTACGATTCTCAAAACCTTACCTAATCTTCCAGATGATGAATAAATGACAGAGTGTAATGTGGAAGAGGACTCTGATGATTAAAAAGAAGAAGAAGATGAGTACTCACCTAAAGGAAAAAATAATAACAAGAGATAAATTAATAACTCATTTTACTTAAACAATGTATCGTAAATGGAAATCAGACCAAACAGCGGATTAGACTCAGTGAAGGATAGAAAAACATCTAGCAGACTATTTAGATTTCTTGATAATCAGGATACTATTGAGGATCAGGATGTTTAATTGATATTAGAGGACCCAGAAGGAGAGTCAGTGAAAGATATGCGCTTTGAAGATTACTAATTTTACTCTAATTAAAGTAATGATAGAACAAGACTCACCAGACTTAATTAAAATATATCAAGCACGACCAAACTGCATCAAATAAAAGAAAATTAAGCATAGATTGATGACCTTTCTGATGCGACACCACTAATTTCATATTAAAGAATCCTCACTTCAAGATTTGGGAACACAAAATATTAGATAATAAACAACTGTAATTTATAGGAAAGCTCAGATCAGAACCCTATCCTTAAAATATACTAAAATAATTCTTAAGTCCAACCATCTCATCAGAGTCAGTGTAAACAAACACAGGAAACAACTAAGCACTCTAAAAAGCTATCTGAAGAGCTATTACATCATATGTCGAGAAGAAGATTTCTGCACTCTCCTTCAGTTGATAATTTAAGATCCTCATTCAAACTTAACTAAAAAAGATAATCAAAAGTATCAGTTATATATACACCCAATTCTGAGGATATCGCAGAATCAGAAAGAAAACCAGTAAAGAACGCTTAGAATAGAATTTAGATAGATTAATTCAATAATAATTTGGTCGTTAGAAAGCAATAGAGCATCGAACACTTATTGGAATTTGAGATTTAAGATCCTTAGGTTGACGAGAGTCATAACATATCCAATATTGAGGAGTTCAATAACGAGCTTGATTTTTAGTCGGTAAATGATAAGTTTCAGAATACTTAGCGATATACTACCAGGCGAGACTAAAGAGAGGATCTCTCAGAAAGAGAGACTCTCAAGTTGTCTTGGACAAAAACGAGGCCTCTGAACAGAGAGAATTTCTAAGTGTAATAGTTTGAACTCGACAAAAAGGGATCTCACTTTAATACTCCATATAATTAATAAACTAATAGGTCAAACACAATACTTTAAGAAAAGAGAATAAATAATCCAGTAAATAGTTTTGACCTAAGACGCAATAACAGGATGACTGAGCGGGCTAAAATAATCAATGAGAATCAGGACCCTAATCAAGGAGGCAGCTAAGAATTATTCTAAGGAATAAAAAGTATAAGGCAAGGATAAAGCCTTCAAAGGTCATAACTTATATCCCAAATTAATCATTCTTAAGAAGAAATTTCAAATTCATAAAAAAGTAAACTACAAGCAAAATAAATAAACAATTTCTATCGATTTTCTGCTACATAGAAGAACCCTTAATCGAAGCTTGCTTAGAAGAACTTAGAAAAATAGAGGAATAAGATTCTACACAATTGGTCAGCTAATAACAACAATATGTAGGCCAACAACAATAATATTAACAACAATCGAGAATAGGGTGAGATAAACTAGGGTATGAAGAAAAGAGCAACTGAATAAGTAGAAGAGGTAATAAAATCAATGAAAACCTCTTAAATCGCCTAGCCCATCACAAAAGTAAACAAGATTTCCACAAAATTAACAGCTATTAACACTTAATTTAACAATATCCCATTATCTGGAAGAGATGAGGGGCAGTCTTTGTCTCACAGATCTCTGATATAAAAGAATAGTTGCTATCTTTAGGTAAATGGAGACTATGATTCATATTATTTAAAGGGTGGTCTAGGTAATGCTTACAGCGGTTAAAACTTACTCTCACCTCGTACTGTTGCTAACTAGAAGCAAAGTTCAAAGCTTGTTGTTCACAAAGGGGATAACTTTTACGAGGAAGCAGAGTTGACTACTATAGTTACTCCAAAGGAAAGTTTTTACGGTGGCGGGATCCGCTTAAACTCTCAATTGCTAATTACTTGAAAATTTAGCTACTATCACTTTATAAAAATGCATTCATCTCCAACAAATTATAATTAAAATTGCTTTTAAGAATATTGTAATTTATACGATGCTTAATTCAAAATAAAGCTTGTGAATTTTTATTTACGGGGTTTTGGGGTTTTGGGGTTTTGGGG